GAACCTTGTCCTCAGAGTGAGGTACCTTGTGCTCAGAATGAGGGACCTTGTCCTCAAAGTGAGGAGCCTTGTCCTCAGAGCGAAGAACCTTGTCCTCAGAGTGAGGAACATTGTCCGCAGAGTGAAGAACCTTGTCCTCAGTGTGAAGAACCTTGTCCTCCGAGTGAAGAATCTTATCCTCAGAGTGAAGAACCTTGTCCTCAAAGTGAGGAACCTTGTCCTCAGCGTGAGGAACCTTGTCCTCAAGGTGAAGAGCCTTGTCCTCAGCGTGAAGAACCTTGACCTCTGAGTGAAGAACCTTGTCACCAGCGTGAAGAACATTGTCCTCAGAGTGAGGAACCTTGTCCTCAGGGTGAAGAACCTTGTCCTCAGTGTGAAGAACCTTGTCCTCCGAGTGAAGAATCTTATCCTCAGAGTGAAGAACCTTGTCCTCAAAGTGAGGAACCTTGTCCTCAGCGTGAGGAACCTTGTCCTCAAGGTGAAGAACCTTGTCCTCAGCGTGAAGAACCTTGACCTCTGAGTGAAGAAACTTGTCATCAGCGTGAAGAAACTTGTCATCAGCGTGAAGAACATTGTCCTCAGAGTGAGGAACCTTGTCCTCAAGGGCGAAGAACCTTGTCCTCAGCGTGAAGAACCTTGACCTCTGAGTGAAGAACCTTGTCCTCAGCGTGAAGAACATTGTCCTCAGAGTGAGGAATCTTGTCCTCAGTGTGAGGAACCTTGTCCTCAATGTGAAGAACCTTGTCCTCACCGTGAAGAACCTTGACCCCTGAGTGAAGAACCTTATCATCAGCGTGAAGAACATTGTCCTCAGAGTGAGGAACCTTGTCCTCAAGGGTGAAGAACCTTGTCCTCAGTGTGAAGATCCTTGTCCTCCGAGTGAAAACTCTTATCCTCAGAGTGAAGAACCTTGTCCTCAAAGTGAGGAACCTTGTCCTCAGTGTGAGGAAGCTTGTCCTCAGCGTGAAGAACCTTGACTTCTGAGTGAAGCACCTTGTCATCAGCGTGAACAACATTGTCCTCAGAGTGAGGAACCTTGTCCTCAGGGTGAAGAACCTTGACCTCAGTGTTAATAACCTTGTCCTCCGAGTGAAGACTCTTATCCTCAGAGTGAAGAACCTTTTCCTCAAAGTGAGGAACCTTGTCCTCAGTGTGAGGAACCTTGTCCTCAGCGTAAAGAACCTTGACCTCTGAGTGAAGAACCTTGTCCTCAGCGTGAAGAACATTGTCCTCAGAGTGAGGAACCTTGTCCTCAGGGTGAAGAACTATGTCCTCAGTGTGAAGAACCTTGTCCTCAAAGTGAAGAACCTTGTGCTCAGAGTGAGGAACCTTGTCCTCAGTGTTAAGAACCTTGTCCTCCGAGTGAAGAACCTTATCCTCAGAGTGAAGAACCTTGTCTTCAAAGTGAGGAACCTTGTCCTCAGTGTGTGGAACTTTGTCCTCAGAGTGAAGAACCTTGTCCTCAGAGGGATGAACCTTGTCGTCAGAGTGAAGAACCATGTCCTCAGAGTGATAAACCTTGTCCTCAGAGTGCAGAACCATGTCCTCAGTGTGGAGAACCTTGCCTTCAGAGTGAAGAACCTTATCCTCAGAGTGATGAACCCTCTCCTCAAAGTGAGGAACCTTGTTCTCGGTTTGAGGAACTTAGTCATCAGAGTGAAGAGACTTGTCGTCAGAGTGAAGAACCTGCTCCTCAGAGTGAAGAAACTTGTCCTCAGAGTGAGGAACTTTTCCTCAGGGCGAGGCATCTTCTCTTCGGAGTAAAGAACCTGCTCCTCAGAGTGAAGAATCTTGTCCTCAGAGTGAGGAATTTTGTCCTCAGAGGGAAGCACCTTGTCGTCGGAGAAATGAACCTTATCCCCAGTGAAAGGTACCTTGTCCTCCGAGTGAAAAACCTAATCCTCAGAGTTAAGAACATTGTCCTCAAAGTGAGGAACCTTCTCAACAGTGTGTGGAACTTTGTCCTCAGAGTGAAGAACCTAGTCCTCAGAGGGATGAACCTTGTCGTCAGAGTGAAGAACCATGTCCTCAGAGTGATAAACCTTGTCCTCAGAGTGCAGAACCATGTCCTCAGTGTGGAGAACCTTGCCTTCAGAGTGAAGAACCTTATCCTCAGAGTGATGAACCCTCTCCTCAAAGTGAGGAACCTTGTTCTCGGTTTGAGGAACTTAGTCATCAGAGTGAAGAGACTTGTCGTCAGAGTGAAGAACCTGCTCCTCAGAGTGAAGAAACTTGTCCTCAGAGTGAGGAACTTTTCCTCAGGGCGAGGCATCTTCTCTTCGGAGTAAAGAACCTGCTCCTCAGAGTGAAGAATCTTGTCCTCAGAGTGAGGAATTTTGTCCTCAGAGGGAAGCACCTTGTCGTCGGAGAAATGAACCTTATCCCCAGTGAAAGGTACCTTGTCCTCCGAGTGAAAAACCTAATCCTCAGAGTTAAGAACATTGTCCTCAAAGTGAGGAACCTTCTCAACAGTGTGAGGAACTTTGTCCTCTGGGTGAAGAACCTTGTCATCAGTGTGAAGAACCTTGTCCTCAGAGTGATAAACCTTGTCCTCAGAGTGAAGGAACTTGTCCTCCGAGTGAAGAACCTTGTCCTCAGAGTGAGGAACCTTGTGCTCAGAGTCAGGGACCTTGTCCTCAAAGTGAGGAGCCTTGTCCTCAGAGTGAAGAACCTTGCTCTCAGTGAGAGGAATCTTGTCCTCAGATTGAACAACCTTGTTCTCAGAGTGAGGAACATTGTCCGCAGGGGGAGGAACCTTGTCCTCAGAGTGAAGAACCTTGTCCTCAGTGTGAAGAACCTTTTCCTCAGATTGTGGAATCTTCTCCTCAGTGTCAGCAAGTTTGTACTCAGTGTGAGGAACCTTGTCCTCAAGGTGAGGAACCTTGTCCGCAGACTGAAGAATCTTGTCCTCAGGGTGAAGAACCTTGTCCTCGGAGTGAAGAACCTAGATTTCAGAGAGAATAAACTTGTCCTCGGAGTGAAGAACCTTGTCGTCAGAGTTAAGAGCCTTGTCCTCAGAGTGAAGAACCTTGTCCTCAGAGTGAAGAACCTTGTCCTCGAAGTGGGGAACCTTGTCCTCAGAGAGTAGAACCTTGTTCTCAGAGTGAAGAACCTTGTCCTCAGATTGAAGAACCTTGTCCTCAGAATAAAGAACCTTGTCTTCAGAGTGAAGAACCTTGTCCTCAGAGTGAAGCACCTTGTCCTCAGAGTGAAGAACCTTGTCCTAAGAGTGAAGAACTTTGTCCTACGAGTAAAGAATCTTATCCTCAGAGTTGGGAACCTTGTCCTTAGAGTGAGGAACCTTTGTCCTCCGAGTGAGGAACCTTGTCCTCAGAGTGAGGAAACTCGTCCGCAAAGTGAAGAACCTTGTCTTCAGAGTGAAGAACCTTACCTCAGAGTGAAGAACCCTGTCCTCAGTGTGAGGAACCTTGTCCTCAGAGTTAAGAACCTTGTCCTCAGAATGAAGAAACTTGTCCTCAGAATGAAGAACATTGTTCTCAGGGTGAAGATCGTTGTCCTCAGAGTGAAGAACCTTGTCCTCAGAGTAACGAATCTTGTTCTCAGAGTGAGGAACCTTGTCCTCAGAGTGAGGAACCTTTGTCCTCAGGGTGAGGAACCTTGTCCTCAAAGCGAAGAACCTTGTCCTCAGTGTGAGGAACCTTGTCCTCAGAGTGAAGAACCTTGTCCTCATAGTGAAGAAACTTGTCCTCAGAGTGAAGACCTTGCCCTCAGAGTGAAGAACCTAGTCCTCAGAGTGAAGAACCTTGCCCTCAGAGTGAGGAACCTTGTCCTCAGAATGAGGAACCTTGTCCACGGAGAGAAAAAGCTTGTCCGCAGTGTGAGGATACTTGTCCTCAGAGTGAGGAAGCTTGTCCTCAGAGTGCAGACTTGTCCCCAGTCGCTTTACGAGTTGGCGCGCGGCCAGAAGTAGGCGCGTAGAGGCTCACGGCAAGAGAGAAAGAAGAAAATTTAGCGACTGGCAGACTACTGTGATTTTTCTTGCAAGAAATTGTTTTTCTTGCAATCTAGTATTTTATGCTTCAATTTTGGATTTTTTGACATTGGTATACATAAATCGATCATTTTATGATGTAGTCTCTGCAAAGTGCGTACTTTATCAAGTATACGGGCCTTCAATTGATCAAGTCTGCAGTACTTCAAAATGGCGGACTCTGATGAACTTAGATGGTGAGTCTAAGAGATAATATAATACAGTCTACCACTTGAGTGTCTTGAATTTGTTGACCCTTTGAGCCGTAGCATAAATTTGCGTATACTAAAGAAATTAAGAAACTGGAATTCATTATACGCTCTGGTGATTAGCGCCATGTAACGTGTTGCCTTGTTTCAAGTTGTAATTTTTGTCGTTCTGAACTATAGACTTCAATTCCATAAATACAGATGAATGTCCTAAGACCAGCACTCCTAGAACTCCTAAAGCGAGAAAGTTACTGCCATATGACGTCAAACACGACCTAACACCAGATTCTAAGAGTGCGGAATTACCAAGAAGGCAAGAACTAAATGCAGGAAAGTTGTTCAATGTTGGAACTTGTATTTTTAATAAGTCACTTGTTTGAATGTGCAGGTGATGTTGGCACATTTGTTCCTGGAGATCTTCAGGGCTCTTTAAAGACTATATGCATCAAAACAGATGGGTTGAGACTTAAACAAGAGGATGTTGTTACTGATGATCTTAGTGTAAAAAGCCACCTTTCAAGAGCTTTGGTAGCCATATTTCCTAACTGTGAAAAGAAAAGGGTGTTGTGCGAACATAAACAAATATATTCTTTTTACATCTGTAAAGGCTGATGTGCATATGTAATACATGATCAATCCAATTCATAACATTGTATTACAAATGACATAATATTTTTATATTTGTCTGGTATATTGTGTTTTGGTTAATCTTCCTCAGGATGCTACGTCACAGAATAAGGTACACAGAAGGCCGACTTCTTGGGTTTTCCTATAATTTAGGCGTAACCTGTAATTCGTCATCATATGCTAACGCCATGGTCCTAGCCAGTGCGCGTTTGAGAGGCATTCACCCCCTGATATTATTCAAAATGGCGAACGTCCAGGGGGGAATGCCTCTT